CCTCGAGCCAGACCCCGCCCCCCCCCGCCCCCGCGCTACTGCCCGCCGCGGAGAAACAAGGAGAGTGTGGCAATTCTCGTCCCTACCCCTATCGCCCGTGAATGGTACTGGCCTTAGTCTTTCTCTTTAGGTTGGTGGGAGAGGAACGGGAGAGCCAAAAGGGAGCGGGAGGGGGAAGGAGGGGGCTTCGGTCGAGGGTATGACCTGCTGCCTTCTGCCAGAGCGTGGCTGGGGAGGGAGGAACTCCTCAGAGGCAAGGCAGGGAAGAGCTGCAGCTGAGGCGAAGCGTGCCGTGGGCGTCCACGACTTGATGGGCCTGGCCTTGGCGGAGTTGGAAGAAGAAATGTGGCGGAGGAGGAGTGGTGGTGGTCATGAGTACTAAAATAAATCTGAGATGCCACAAGACTTTCTTTTTAAAAAATTTTTAAACCTCTCTAGGGCTTCCAGACAGCGAGAAGAAGACGTGTGTGTAAAGGAATGAGGGGGGGGAGGGAGGAAGACAACGACACAAGCATTTTATCCATCTCCTCAGTGAGGACTCGTTTTTAAGGAGGCTGCTTCGAATGGAAGCGTATCCAAAACCTGCAGCTTGGCTGGAGCAGGAACAGGGCAAAGATTACCAACGAGCAATGGGGAGCCCGGACTCCTATGGGGGGGGAGGGCGGGAGGTGCCCCCTTGAAGACTGGGCGCTCCCCTCCCGCATCCGCTTGTGCTCGTGGGGTCGCCGGAGAAAGGAATGGAGCTTTCAGTCCCGGCGCCCGAAGAAAGCAGCTCATGGAGTTGCGGGGGGGGCTACACAGGAGCCTCTGTGCTTATACGAAATACACACCTGGGCGGGTCCCGTTTCCATCCGAATTCAGCCCGGGAGGCTGACCTCCAGGTAACGGTGCCGGGGGTCCCCCTGGGGAAGGCCGCCATCAAAGCGAGGGATGGCAAGAGGAAGAGGCCGCGTTGCAGATCTACGAAGAAAAGGTCCAAAAGGCACCCAGTGGAGTCAATCGCACAACCGCAGGTTGTACAAAATCGAGCGGGCGCAGAAGCTGGCAGGGCTGCGGACAACCGGTTTGCAAAGGGGTGTCGGCAAAAGATGCTGCTTTTTTTTTTCCCGGGACTGCTAATAAATCACGAAGATTTAACTGCAGCCTCGGCGTTGGGCGCCCAGTGAATGAGGACATGTAGCCATAGTCGTCTAAAGACTCCCATTGTTTGCCAACCGCAGGGTTTGTTTTTATTTTCCCAACTCATTGTTCACGTGCTGCTGTTCTGTAGCTGAACGTTTTGTTTTTATAGACTTGTCAGCAATTAACCGTTGTAACGAGGGAATTTAAAAGGCTTCGTTTCACCGCCAGGAGATGTAAATAACTTTAATTAGCCTAAAATTGTAATGCAAAACATGCCGACGGGGTCTTTGAATTTAAACAATTGCTGCCAAAGCAGAGACAGAATCACTTTAAGTACATGCTGAATGTTGGTTAGGTGGTTTCAGTACAGTACTGTATGTGTAAAATTGTAAGTATGCTTGTTTCTGATTAACAAAATTAAATGCACAACTTTAATGTCCTATGTGTCGTTTAATCTTACACAGAACAGTGATGCACAATCCAGTTAGCTGCTGGGCTGGGTTCTGAACTACATTGTTTAAACACGCACAAACACAAGATACCACAATGAAATATGTTAATATGTATAACCTAACTTTACAGAGATTAATCTGAAGTTCTCAGTGGAACTTCTCTTGGAATTCGGTGCACAAACAGATAATTCAGAACTGTAGTTCCTATGTGAGCTGTGTATTTACAGAACCAGTCGGAGTTAAGTGCATTCCTGCAGGAGTAACTGCTGTGCAATATACAGTGCCAAATATCCGGTGCAGTGAGCATATATTTGTAGCAATATTGACATATAACACCACAGGTGATGTCAGTCGATTGTTTCAGATTCATTTCCTAAAGGTCACAAAAACAAATCTGTAGATAGTGCAACCTCTGTAGCTGCTTCCAATATTAACCCCCAAGCAATATGAAAAACTTACTGTTTTAACTCTTATACAAAAATGAGCCATAAAATAATTTAAGGTGAATTTGAAAAGAGTAAAACACATTTAAAAGAAGTCATACAGTAGACTGAAAGCACAGAATAATTTCCCTATAAGACTGGAGTAGTACAAACCATGGCTAAAATCCAGTACTAAGCCACAACTAGAGTACACCTGTTGAATCTATGGAACTTAGGTGTTCCATAGGTGTTGACTTACCAAATCCTCATGGATTCAATAGGCCTTACTACTGGATTTCAGCCAGTATTTCTGAAATCTGGTTTTACAGATACTGTAATGTGTATGCAAACAACACTAGATACATTATGTGTGAATTGGTAGGCACTAGCACTGTTCCTCGTATGGGTGAAGTGAACAAATGAATGTCTTAAGAGAAAAGCAAATATTTAAAACCAGTCATACAGGAAATAGTATGATACAATAAATTCTTTTGTCTTTCACGTGCTACAAAGCTGACAATACAGTTCTAAACTGGGAGTAGGTACCACACTAAATGAATTTGCTACTGAATGGACAAATCCAAGATCTCACTACAATTAATGCAGATTTCCCACAGTTGTTCTTGTCATTTGGTATTCTCAGTCCCCTAGAGCAGTGGACCCCAAACCTTTCAGAACTGCGGACCGGTTGGGGAGGACCCGCATGCTTGTGGGGGGGGCAGGGTGTGCTTGTGTGTATGTGTGGATGGGTGGGGTGTGCTCACGGGTGGGTGAGGCACATGTGCATGCGAGGGGGTGGGTCATGCATGTGGGAGGGCAGGTGAGGGGAAGTGCTGCGGGGCAGGAGACCTGTCTCTGTGGCCTGGTTCTGCAAAGGCCATGGACCGGCATCAGGCTGCAGACTGGGGGTTGGGGACCCCTGCCCTACAGGTTGGCACAGTTGTTACCAGTATTTGTTTATTAACCACTCAAATGTATTCTACCATATGATATAGAAAACTAGATTTGGACCTGTCACAGCAATTCAAATAACTTCCTATGCATGAAAAGTTCATTTCTTCACAGCACAATCCTAAGTATATATATTCAAAAGTAAGTCCCACTGTGTTCAAAGGAACTTATCTAGTAAAGGAGTGTGTAGCAGTCTAAGCTAAAAAGAAATAACCTGTTGTGAGGCAACAAGTCACCTCGCCCAGGATCAGGAGAGTATACCGTCCGCCTCTCAAGTAAAGGAAGAATCACAAGAGATAGGAGTGACAGAAAAGGAATTAAGTAAACTAGAAATAAAAGAAGAGGCTAAAGGGGGCGCAAATCGGGTGGGAAAGGAGGAGGAGGAGGATTAGGAGGAGGAGGAAGGAGGTGAAGAGGCAGAAGCATGTTGGGGAAGAAAGGAGAAAGGAGAGAAAAAGGAAGAGCTTGTACAGTTGATCCAGGAATATCCTTGGACAGGAGAGTGGGTAGAGTTCAAGGTGCCTCGTGAGTACGCTGAAAGGGAATGGGGATGACAAATGTATAGAAAGCCACCATACTGGGGGGAGACTGAGGAAGGAATATAGGGTGTGGGGCTGTCATGTTGGCAGCATCCTATTCCCAGAGACCTAGAGGCTATTGTGATGGCACAGCAAGTGGACCCAGGAAGAATTGCAGGAGGTACATTGGCAAACAGCCAATGTAGCAGGGACTTGATGATTAATTAAAAACTAGGGTGTGGGTTCTGCTATCAACAGCAGCTCTACAGCATGCAACAGAAGTAATAGAAAAGACAAGTGAGCTACTTGGGATGGGTATACAATATCCTTCATTCATGAGAATGAACTACAAAATCTGGGATTGCCAGATTTGCAGATGCTTATTCCCTGAGATTTCAGGAGCTCAATCTTAGACCAAGGGGAGGGATCCCAGCATTTGAGTCTCAGGGCCAAAGCGTGAGATCTGGCAACTGTGAGAATTCCTGCTTTCTATCCCCTATTTTAATGTTATTTTATTTATTTATTTATTAGATTTATATAACGCCCATATAGAACGTGTCTACTCTGGGCAGTTTACATATAATATAAAAATAAACTAAGATAAAATATAGATTAATCCAAGATGGAAACAAAGGAAAGGAAACAAAGGAAACAAAGAAAGGGGGGGAGAAGAAGGAGAGAAAAGAAAAAGAAGAAAAGGGTAGATAGGCTAGGTAATGGCTGTAGGGAAGGCTTGCCTGTATAGCCATGTCTTCACCTTAGTCTTGAAGGCCCTCAGGAAGGGAGCCAGGTGGATCTCAACAGGTTAGTTGTTCCAAAGCCAAGGGGCCACTGCCAAGAAGGCCCAATTTTTGGTGTTTTCCCACTGAGCCTCTTTTGCCTTGGGAGGGATTAAAAACATGCCAGAGTAGGATGTGTACGATTTGGATTTCATCCGAGACGAAGGTATTGGTGGTGTGTAGATTTCATGTTGTTCAGGAATGCTCTGCAAACATCAGAGCTGCCGTGGCAAAAACACTTTTTATTTAAGTGCTGTCCTTGGACTTAAAATTCTTAGACACTCTTCTTACAAATGTATGTACCTTGGAACACCTATCAGTGAAAAGGATGTGGCACAGCATGTAATCTCACATGCATGTCAAAAAGGAGCACATTCTGCCCTTGACTGAACATCTCTAAAATGACGTGATTCTAAAATGATTCTGTCAAGATCAGAATTAATCCTATGTGATTAACATACAATTCATACACATATGCAACACTACAAATTATAGGATTAATCCTATGTATCCTTGCAGAAACAAACAACAACAAAAACCACTCATGAGCAAATGCATTGTTTGATGTGTGTATAAAATTCCTTCAGCTGGTCTGGTTTTATTTATAGTGACCTGACCTTTAGCTCAGCTACCTGACCTTTAGATCAAATAGGTATAAACAAAGCTTTTG